CCGGGAGAACAATATAGTGAATCAGGGTCCCTGGGAGACCAGTAATGAATGCAGGTCCTGGGAGACCCGATATATGAAGCGGGGTGGGGAGAACCCAAAAGGAATGCGGGGTTCCCGGGGGACCAATATAGGGAAAAGCGGGGGCCGGGAGACCCGATAAAGGAAACAGGGTCCCGGGGAGATAATAGTGAATGCAGGATCCGGGGAAACAATAAGTGAATGCAGGGCCTGGGAGTTTAAAAAGGAATGCAGGAACCGGGGGACAGATTAGTGAAGGGGGTCCTGGGACCCAGAATGGAATGCGGGTCCCGGGAGACCAGATAATGTGCGGGGGCGGGGGGACCCAAAAAGTGAATGCGGGTCCGGAAAGGGTCAGCTATATTGAATCGGGGGCCGGGGGGATCCATTAGAGAATGCAGGGTCCCCCAAGGGGACCAGATAGTTTAATTTAAGGGGGCCCCTGGAGAGTGGATATAGTGAATGCCGGGTCCCGGGAAAACCCGATATTGATTTTCGGGTTCTTGGGTTTTCAATATAAATGAATGCAGGGTCTGGGGAGACCCGATATTGTGAATGGCGGGTCCGGGAGAACGGGTATAGAATTGGGAGGGTCCGGGAGACCCGATATAGTTAATTCAGGGTCCTGGGGGACCCGGTTTAAAAGGGGGGGGGAAAAAGGCAAAAGGGTCGGGGAGGGGCCCGTATAGTGAAGGGGGGGTCCTGGAAAAAAAAGACCAAAATAATAGTGAAAAGCGGGGTCCTGGGGGGGCCCGAAATAAATGAATTGGGGCCCCGGGGAAGACCAATATAGGGAATGCGGGTCCTGGGAGATCAGCTATGTGAATCCAGGGGCCCCGGGGGACCGGGTATAGGAAAAGCCGGGGTTCGGGAGACCTATAAAAGGGGAATTTCAGGGTCCCGGGGAAAGAAAAAGTGAATCGGGTTCCCGGGAGACAATATATGAATTTCGGGGCCCCCCGGGGAACCAGATATAAAATGAAAATTGGGGGTCCCGGGGGGACCAAATGTTTAATGGAGGGGCTGGGGAGCACGAATTTAAGGGGGGGGGACCTTGGGGGGGGTCCTGGGAGATCAGTATGTGAATTCCGGGGGCCGGGGAGATCCGGAATTTAGAGAATTTCGGGGGCCCCGGGGGCCAAATAGTTTAATGCGGGCCGTGGGGAAGGGGATAGTGAAATTTCGGGGGCCTGGGGGGGACCCGAAAATTGTTTAATGGGGGGTCTTGGGGGACCAGAAATAGTGGGGGGCGGGGTCCTGGGGAAACCCAAAAATATTTAATCGGGTCCCGGGAACCGTTAAAGTGGAAAAGCAGGGTTCCCCCGGGGACCCGATATTTGTGGGAAGGCGGGGTCCTGGGGGGACCAAAAATAGGAATGCAGGGGCCTGGGGAGAAGTTTAGTTTAATGCGGGGTCCCCCGGGGGATCAGATATTTGTGAAAGCGGGGCCGGGAGACCAATATATGAATGGGGGTTTCCGGGGAAAAACCCAAAAATAGTGGGAAAGGGGGTCCCGGGGGACCAAATATAGGGGAATGGGGGTTCCGGGGAGAACCCCGTTTTAATGAATTTTCGGGGTCCCGGGGGACCCGATATAGTGAATGCGGGGTCCTGGGAGCCCCGATTTAAAAAGGGTTGGGGTTTTTGCAAGGATCCGGGGGGGACCAAATAAGTGAATGCGGGGTTTTCCGGGGAATCCCCGATATTGTAAATGCCGGGGGCCCGGGGAGACCAGATATAGTGAATGGGGTTTTGGGAGACCCGATATGTGAATGGGGGTCCGGGGGGAAGGGCCGATATTTGTGAATGGGGGGTTCTGGGGAACCCGAAAATAGGGAATTTTGGGGGCCGGGGAGACCAAAAAAATAGTGAATGCGGGGGGCCTTTTTAAGAAGGGGGGAACCAGGGTATAGAGGATGCAATGGCCCCCCCGGGGAACCCGTATAGGGGAATGCGGGGTCCCGGGGGGACCCGATTTTAGTGAATGCGGGGTCGTGGAGACCAGTATAGTGATTGCGGGGTCCGTGGGATAACCAGATATAGTGAATGCGGGTCATGGGGGACCAGATATAGTGAATGCGGGGTCTGTGGAGACCCAGTTATAGTGAATGCGGGGTCCTGGGAGATCTGATATAGTGAATGCGGTGTCCTGGGAGACCAGTTATAGTGAATGCGATCTGGTGGAGACCAGAATAGTGAACTGCGGGGTCCTGGGAGATCAGATATAGTGAATGCGGGGTCCGGGGAGCCAGATATAGTGAATAGGGGGTCGGGGAGACCAGATATAGTGGAATGGAGGGTCTGGGGAGACCATGATATAGTGATTGGGGGGTCTGGGGAGACCAGGATATATCGTGAATGCGGGGTTCCGGGAGACCAGATAATAGTGAATGCAGGGTCCTGGGAGAACACATATAGTGAATGCAGGGTCCTGGGGCGGGACCAGATATAGTGAATGCAGGGGTCCGGCCGGGTCCTGGGGAGATCCTGATATAGTGAATGCAGGGTCCTGGGGAGACCTCTGTTATAGTGTATGCAGGGATCCCTGGGAGACCAGATATAGTGAATGCAGGTGTCCTGGGAGACCAGATATAGTGAAAACAATGCAGGGTCCTGGGGACCGCTCCAGATATTGTGAAATGCAGGGTCCGGGGAGACCAAGATATTAGTGGAATGGCAGGGTTCCTGGGAGACCAGATATAGTGACTGCAGGGTCACTGGGAGGACCAAGTATAGAGAATGCAGGTTCCTGGCGAGACAGATATAGTGAATGCAGGGTCCTGGGAGGACCAGATATAGTGAAATGCAGGGGTCCGGGTGAGACCAGATATAGTGAATGCAGGGTACCTGGGAGACCAGATAAGAGAATGCAGGGTCGGGGATGCCCAGATATAGTGTAATGCGGGGTCTGGGAGACCAGATATAGTGAACTGCAGGGATCCGGGGAGACCAGTGTATAGTGAATGCGGGGTCCGGGGAGACCCCCAAGTATCTAGTGGAATGCAGTGGTCCTGGGTTTTAGTAACTCACTTTCTAACAAAAAGAAACAAAGCAAATAACATTTCTCATTTCATGTATGTAAAACCAACTAATATAATCACACGGGGCATGCCCAAAAACTATCAGAGAAGAAAATGTTGTTATTTCATTATGAATGAGAGGTTGGAGCCTCTGGTAGGTTTTTTATTTTTCAATTCACAGACTGCTTTTTTAGGGGGAGATTTCTCACACACATTAATCAAGGGAAACCAATGCTGGAGCTACAAAAACTCCACTACAGACAGAGGAATTGGTAGCAAGTTAGTACATGAGGACTGGTTCTGCTTCCAGTTTCTCGGCCCAAACCCAGAGGCGAGTGCCCAAGGGGCGGACTGACCAACTCATGGGGCCCCTGTGTCCTTGCCCCAATCAATTCAAATCACATCCCAAAAAAAGATTATGAAAGGTTCCAGGGGAATATCTCATGGTGCCCCCTCTAATGACACCGGGCCCTAGGGCAGTGCACGAATTTCTAAATGGTCAAGTCCGCCCCTGGTAGGGGCCATGTGGCCAGGTCAGGGCAAGTGCTGTGTGCCAGCATCCTGAATCCCCCTTGGTTTAGCGCATCGTAGAGAGCTACAGGGTGGGACATCTTCCTCCTGCGCTCATTCGGCCTGCCTGTTGGCTGCCGGGTGTGCTACAGACTGAACTGCCTAATCACTAGTAGCCGCTGCACAAGGATAAATAACATCTTTCTTTGTAACAGACCAGTTTCCTTCAAATGAACTATTGAGAAAAGAATTCTATAGTGAGGGGTATTTACTCTAAAACTGGAGCGCTCAGAAGGCTGAATTGGCTACCATGCTACAGCTGGACAAGATTCTACCTTCAGCTTGTTCAAATTAAAGGATAAGTTCACATTTTGGACAAAAAAATTTATAAAAGGCTATTTTATTTTTGCAGGTAAAAAATTTAAATTCACAGTATTATTTTTGTCTACAGGAGACCGGATAGCAGTGCATCGGTGATCAGTAGATTGGTGATGCCATGCAGGGCCTCCTGCAGACCTGTCAGCTATATCTGCTTGTGCCATGCGGGATGTACAGTACAAGCAGATATTAATGACAGCACTTCTCACATGAACTACAACCAGCGCTCCACAGCAACCATGGTAGTTCATTGATAACTACTAAGCACACAGCTGCTATAGGCTTTTCGGGACTTGTAGGCACTGGAAGAAGGTGGGCCGGGTCTGATGAGTTTCAAGAATTGGTGTGACATTGCGTTTGAGGTGTTGACTTTGGCCTCCAAATTCTTATCAGATCTCGAATCCAAATGATCCATATGTGTGTTTGATGTGCTGGAAAAATACAAGTCTGGACCCATGACGGCCGCTAACCTCGCAACTTTACAGGGAATGAGATACCACAGTGTTACCTGCCAGAGGTCTAATGGAGGCCATAATCTTGATGTGTTAGGGTGGTTGGTTCTGAAATGGTAGAGTCGATTGGTTATAGTACACCAATGGGCTTCTATTTGCTCCCTTTCAGGCTATTAAACTATACAGCTGAAAAGGTTTGATATATCTGTTGATCAAACACACTATAATGAACTTGGTATCTGCCCTATGAAGACAGTGCGTGTGCGCACGAAAGCGTTAATTTGCAAATTCCTTTTATTAATTAAATAAAATTAGTTGTCATTCACCCTACCTGACACTTCAGCGGCTTCCTTTATGGTCTCCTGCGTGGAGCTATTTACTTTTAGAGCCCATCCTGATCCAGCCATCCATCAGTATGCAGAGAGGGGCGTTACTTAACCCCCCCGGCGGTATTCCCGAGTGTAGCTCGGGGTAAAGTTTCAGCACCACAAGCGGTAACCCTGAGCTACACTCGGGAATACTCTGCAGCGTTGCTCAGGGATTCCCTCCAGCACTTACCTTGTCCTTCGCTCCTGCGATGTCCCTCCTGCAGTGTCCCCGGTAATGTAATCCGGCGGATGCCGGCATCTGTCATCTGGGTTCCGTTCCCTGCGACGTCGGGAATACATGGGAACGGAAACTGGCGGGAAATTCAAAAATGTGAAAAAGTGACATTCAAAAATTCACTAAAATCACATAGTATAACATTCCTGTATCAAACCATTTCACATACATTTTGTCCCGAGTGCTTTGTCCGGCGCCCTGCCTGCATTTTTACTGTTCTTTCTGCCTGGAAACTGAGAAAACATCCATGGCGTCCAAAAGCGTCCCTTTAGGTCAAAAGCGGGTTTTAGACCGGCTAGAGAACAGCGATAGTAAATCAGAACCACTTGCAGAATTGAGTGATAATGATTTGTGGGGGAAATTCATCATCAGACACTGAAAACGATTCTGCGACTTGCTCAGCGATGTGCGAACTTGGCGCTATATTTCACATTTCAGTGTTTTTGGTTTGATTATATTATTGAATTAAATTTATTATTATATATTATTATTTTTTATGATTATTTATTATATTATAATTCATGATTTCGTGTTTCAAGTTTTATCTACCCGGATGTTTACTAGACTCTTGTTCAGACAGATTTCAGTGAGTTATTCCTAAAAATTACAGGCCTACAATAAAAAACTACGTATTTCCATGCAAAAAAAAATGTACCGCTTTGAGCACAGAAATATGGACATAATCAGACCGCTAGGGAGGTTAAAGCAGACACCTACACCCGTCCATCCCTTAAAGGGATCTCTGGTCAGCTGGATCCTGTATCTTCCTGTGGACCTGACAGCACCACCATACCAAGAGGGAGGACCATCCTGGAGTAGGACCTTATCCAATTCCTAAAGGGGACCTCTACTTATTTATACAATGCGTATTTACATTACGCATCTGGTGAGTGCGTAATTCTACCACTTTTTGGAGCACCATTACTTGGATTCTACTGTTATCTCTTACCCAGATCTGCACAGACTGACACCTTATAATTTGGCATATTAATATATTTATGGACACTAGTAATTTTATATATATTTTTAGCGCTGCACCTTTTTAGTTGTTATGATTTTCTAAAGGTTTTTATTGGTTACCTTTGGTGCCATAGCTGCTGATTTTAAGAGCGCTCACTTTCTCTTTATACCTTTAAAGCACATAATATGCCCATTGATCCTGCCAGAAATCTAGTAAGCTAGCTTCCTGTAGTTAGCCGAGACAACATGTTGTCTTATCAGACCTGCAAAGGTGACTTCAGTGAACTACAGAACATCTCCTAGGGTGACAACGCTGCTCCTCCACAGATACAGTACAGGGAGTGAATGTTGTCACCCTGAGACAGGAAGTGTGTTAAGCCGGCCATACACGGGTTGAATTCTGAAAGAATTTTCTTTCGAAAATCTTTTCTAAGAATTTTCATTCGAATTTCGCACCATTATTGGGTCACAGAAACGGCCAATTTTCGTGTGACCATCGAATTTGAATGATCGGGCATGTTGGACATTTTTTGAAAAACGAATTTCGAATCAGTGATGAGAGAATCGTGCAGGAAATATAAACAAAAAGGATAGGAGCTGCGATCTGGAAAGAAAAGACAATTCTTGGCCACGAAAATTCTTTTCTGTAGCAACATGAGGTGAAATTGAAGGCTTGGTTGGTTGAGTTTCGAAATCAATGGTGGCACCACCAGATTACAAAATGCACAAAATTTCAGATTTTCTAAAGAAAATTTGTTCAGAATTGGACCCACGTATGGCCTTCATTGATGACAATCATCAGGTAAAAATAAAGAGAAGAAAAATTTAAACATCTCTTAGAACAGAATGGAGGAGTCATGGTGATAAAACCATATCCAGGCCATCAACTGGTCTGCTACCATAATGAGGCCATCAACTGGTCTGCTACCATAATGAGGCCATCAACTGGTCTGCTACCAAAACGAGGCCATCATCTCGTCTGCCACCATAACGAGGCCATCATCTGGTCTGCTACCATAACGAGGCCATCATCTGGTCTGCTACCTAACGAGGCCATCATCTGGTCCTACCATAACGAGGCCATCATCTGGTCTGCTACCATAACGAGGCCATCAACTGGTCTGCTACCATAACGAGGCCATCAACTGGTCTGCTACCATAACGAGGCCATCAACTGGTCTGCTACCATAACGAGGCCATCATCTGGTCTGCTACCATAACGAGGCCATCATCTGGTCTGCTACCATAACGAGGCCATCAACTGGTCTGCTACCTAACGAGGCCATCAACTGGTCTGCTACCATATCCAGGCCATCAACTGGTCTGCTACCATAACAATTCCATCAACTGGTCTGCTACCATAACAATTCCATCAACTGGTCTGCTACCATAATGAGGCCATCAACTGGTCTGCTACCATAACGAGGCCATCAAGTCCTAGCCAATGGGATGGCTGCTTAGTGCGTCACCCAACAGTCTGGCTACCTCCGTGGTGTACACATGTAAACATGTCACTTGGGGGGGCTCTTTGGTTCACGTCTTGGTCCTTGTTGGACCTTCTGGTCTCCTAGTTTTCCCTGAGCCGCTAACAGTTCCTTGGCCGTGTGTTTGAGTTCGCCTTCCAACTCGGCAGCAAATTTCACAGCTTCGGACTGAAAGAATTCATATCTCCGATGAAGATCTTTCGTCAAATGCCTCGCCTCTTTGTGTTCTCTGCTGGTTTTATTCTTCTCCAAGGCAGATTCTGGGAAAGAAGAAATTACAGATGAAGGAAGACACTACAGACACAATACAATTCAATAAAAGAAGGTAAGGGGGGTCCTGGACATGACAGCTTACAATCTAAAAGGGAGGAGCAAGTGATACAAAAGTTACTAACTGGCGAGGGTTCAATTGATGGAGACAGTAGAAGTCCAGTTGCTAGGTGGGGGTAGGATAGGCTCACATGAAGAGGTGAGCTTTCGGGGACCGCCTAAAGGTGGAAAGAGTAGGAAATCACTGGACAGATTGGGGTAGGGAATTCCAGAGGATGGGAGAGGTTCTGGAGGAGAGCATGGGAGGAGGTGATGAGGAGGCTAGAGAGCAGGAGGTCTTGGAAGGAGCAGAGAGGATGGTTTGGGCAGAGTTTAGGATGACTTTGTAGGTTGCTAGTATTTTGAACAGTATTGGGTGAATGAAAGTCAGAGAAGGGATTGGCAGAGAGGGGTGGAGGACACTGAGCAGTTGATAAGGTGGATGGTAAACCATCAAACTACCCAGAATAACGTATTGCTATGTTGGGAACCCCTCATAATGAGTACAGCAGACCCCTCAGCACAGGGATGGTGGGAACCCCTCATAATGGGCACAGTACAGACCCAGAAACTCAGCACAAGGATGGTGGGAACCCCTCATAATGGGCACAGCGGGTGTACAGACCCAGAAACTCAGCACAAGGATGGTGGGAACCCCTCATAATGGGCACAGGAGGTGTACAGACCTGGGAACTCAGCACAGGGATGGCGGGAAACCCCTCATAATGGGCATAGCAGGTGTACAGACCTGGGAACTCAGCACAGGGATGGTGGGAACCCCTCATAATGGGAACAGCGGGTGTACAGACCCAGAAACTCAGCACAGGGATGGCGGGAACCCCTCATAATGGGCACAGCAGATGTACAGACCCAGTAACTCAGCACAGGGATGGTGGGAACCCCTCATAATGGGCACAGCAGGTGTACAGACCCAGAAACTCAGCACAGGGATGGTGGGAACACCTCATAATGGGCACAGCAGGTGTACAGACCTGGGAACTCAGCACAGGGATGGTGGGAACCCCTCATAATGGGCACAGCAGGTGTACAGACCCAGAAACTCAGCACAGGGATGGCGGGAACCCCTCATATTGGGCACAGCGGGTGTACAGACCCAGAAACTCAGCACAGGGATGGTGGGAACCCCTCATAATGCAAATCAATCATCATTTGTTAGACATGCATTTCTTTTGAATTTTGTGTTGCTATTCTGTCTCTCAGTGTTACAATACACCGAACATTCGATTTTTTAGACGATCGTTTCTTTGTGAGTGGGCAAACATTCAACATCAGCAGGGGGTCAAATACGCATTTCCTTCACTGTATATATATATATATTTTTTTTTTTTATTTTTTTTTAAACGTCCAATTTAATAAACTGCTTTTTGTAGCCAATGAGGTGCTCTATCCTTGTGATGTTTGTAGCCCCTCATAATGGGCAAAGCAGGACAGCAGCCCAAGAGATCACACCAAGGACCTCCCCTGAAGAGTCCTGAGAAATAGGAGAATCCAACAGATTATTAAAAATGTCCTCCTAATCGATGTGTGTTTTTTATTATGGATGGAGTAAGGAAGGATCAGAACCCGTGTCAGGATCTCACAGCTGTCCACACTGGGGAGATCAAACTCTCTATTTGTCCTGATGATCACTGTCACCCAGCCAGATCGCCAGGGGAAAATTCCACAGTTTTCAAGTTGTCACCAAACCAGAATCCCCCACTGGGGACACTTTATCTACTGAAAACTCTCAGGGAGGAGATTTCAGTCATTTTGGAGGGATTTCTCCTCTCTTCCTGTTTTGTCAATAATGGGACACAGATGGTGGGAAAAAAAACGGGGTTCTTACCTTTCTGTATTTCATCCAAAACAAAAAAAGTGAACTAAAAACAGTTTAGTTTTTTTTCACTTTCCAGAATCTATAAAACACTAAAATGTTAGTTTTGGAACAATGGACTCTTTAAAATAAAAAAAACGACAGTATTTTTCCCAATTGTTGGAACAGGGGCGGACTGACAACTCATGGGGCCCCCGGGCAATAGGGGATCATGGGGCCCCTGCAGGGGCAAACTGACAACTCATGGGGCCCCCGGGCAATAGGGGATCATGGGGCCCCTGCAGGGGCGAACTGACAACTCATGGGGCCCCCCGGGCAATAGGGGATCATGGGTCCCCTGTGTCCTTACTCAAACTCAAAAAAAGCCTATGAAAAAGGTACCAGGGGCATCTCATGGAGCCCCTTACTGACCCCGGGCCCTCGGGCAGTGCCCGAGTTTCCAAATCAGTCCGCCCCTGTGTTGGAAGAATGGACTGATACTCGGTCACCAGATGTGCCCACGTGTAGTTGACTACCTACCCAGAGGAACCTCCACTAGAGGGCGCCGTTCTCTCATACAAATCAGGACATCTGCTAAGGCCTCTTTCTTATTCTTCCAGGTCATTGGATGAAGCTCTTTCTCAAGCTGGTAGGTAATAAAAATGGAGACAAAACTTTATGATGTTTTAGTACATAGGTTCAAAACACTCTGCTTCACTTTACCGCGTGAAATATGCATGACGGTTTTTCACTGGGTCTCTATGTTTCTCAATGCAATACTGGCAAATCATGGTTGGTTGGAGGGATGGCAGGGTGCTGTACATGTGAGCATTATGTGCCAGCCAAAATACCCTCCAGCCCCCCTCCCCCCCAAAAAAAGAGCACTAATCTACATACTTACCCCCTGAGCATAAATTCCCCCTCCTCTCAGTACAAATCTGCCCCCTTGCTGAAATCCCCCCTCCTAGCACAAATCATTGCCCCCCATTCCCCCAGCTGAAATCCTCTTTTTCCCCCATACGCCTCTAGCAAAAACCCCCCCCCCCCAAAAAAAAAATATCTTGTTAAGCATATCCTCCCCCCAACTCCAACCCCATCCCAGCACAAATCCCCCCCATTCTAGCACAAATCCCCCCCAATCATGTCCCTTTTAGCACAAATCCCCCCCCCCATTCTAGCACAAATCCCCCCCGATCATGCCCCTTTTAGCACAAATCCCCCCCCCCCCCCCATTCTAGCACAAATCCCCCCAATCATGCCCCTTTTAGCACAAATCCCCCCCCCCCATTCTAGCACAAATCCCCCCCAATCATGCAACCTTTTATCACAAATCCCCCCCATTCTAGCACAAATCTCCCCCAATCATGCCCCTTTTAGCACAAATCCCCCCCCCCATTCTAGCACAAATCCCCTCTCAATCATGCCCCTTTTAGCACAAATCTCCCCCCCCCCCAAAAAAAAAAAAAAACCCAACAAATCCCCTGCTAGCATAAATTCCCCCCTATCATATTGCCTTTTCTAGCACAGATCTCCCCTCCCAGCACCAATCCTTTTCCTCCATCCCCCCCCTTTTTTTTTTTTAATTTTCAAAGACGAGGCTGTGACAAGTAAGTAGATACCAAACACCTCAACCCCGAACGATGCGTGCGCCTGTGAAAACTGTTACCCCTAGTAACACTCCGGTTTAACGCCATGAAGGTCAGGCATACTTCCCCTTTCCCACACGGAAGAAAAATATATTTTAAATATATTTTTAAAATATACTTCCCAAATATATTGACATATATGTGAAATACTACAACTTTGTCAGTATTCAATATATTAGAAAAAAATGTGCATGTTCTCCCTGTGCCTGCGTGGGTTTCCTCCGAATACTCCGGTTTCCTCCCACACTTCAAAGACATGCTGGTAAGTTAATTGTCTGCGGTCTAAATTGTCCCTAGTATGTGTATGTATGAATGTAAGTTAGGGACCTTAGATTGTACACCACTTGAGGGTGAGGGACCTTAGATTGTACACCCCTTGAGGGTCAGGGACCTTAGATTGTACACCCCTTGAGGGTCAGGGACTGATGTGAATGTATAATATGTATGTAAAGCGCTGAGTAAATTGACAGCGCTATATAAGTACCTGAAATAAATAAATAAATACATACACACACACACACACACACATACAGCATGTTGAAATGCGTTTTTTATATATTACAAAATATATGAAAAATATTTGCAAAAATACAATTTTCAAATATACTGTATGTCTTTAAAAATACATTTAATATACATTTTTGGAATGCATTTATAAATAGATGTAAAAATATATATTAAAATTACTTTTTTATATGTTAAAAAAAATCTGAAGAATAGATTTAGAAATATATATGTTTTTAAAAATATTTTTCATATGTTTTTGTAGTATATTATTATTATACAGGATTATATATATATTATTATTATTATTATACAGGATTTATATATTATTATTATTATACAGGATTTATATATATATTATTATTATTATTATACAGGATTTATATATTATTATTATTATTATTATTATACAGGATTTATATATATTATTATTATACAGGATTTATATATTATTATTATTATACAGGATTTATATATATATTATTATTATTATTATACAGGATTTATATATTTATTATTATTATTATTATTATACAGGATTTATATTTATTATTATTATACAGGATTTTATATATATTATTATTATTATACAGGATTTATATATATTATTATTATACAGATTTATATATTTATATATATTATTATTATTATTATACAGGATTATATATATTATTATTATTATACAGGATTTTATATATATTATATTATATTATTATTATTATACAGGATTTATTATATTATTTATTATTATACAGGATTTATTATATTATTATTATACAGGATATTATATATTATATTATATTTATTATTATTATTATTATTATATATTTATTTATTATTATACAGGATTTATATATATTATTATTATACAGGATTTATATATTATTATTATTATACAGGATTTATATATTATTATTATTATACAGGATTTATATATATTATTATTATTATACAGGATTTTATATATGTTATTTATTATTATTATACAGGATTTATATATATTATTATTATTATACAGGATTTATGACGCCAATAGTTTGCTCAGCGCTTTACAATATAACGGGAGACAATACAGCAACAATACAGTTCAATACAAGAGGGATAGGAGGGCCTGATCCTGGGAGCTTACAATCTAAAATATATAAAAAAACGCATTTCAACATACAGTGTATATATATATATTGAATATGGACAAAATTGTAGTATTTCAAATATAAATCAGTATATTTGGTGGTGCACACCGCTACTACAGTGATCTCTACAGTGGCCAGCCTGCACCTGTTGTGGATTGATCTGGACTGTTTGCCTGAGCGGTATACCTATGTTCTTTGGATTCTGCTTTTTAGAGAAGACCGCATTTTCTCAATTAATGCAAAGTGTTCTCTGACTGGACGAAGTGGAGGCCATGACATCACTACCTCCCCCCGTCATTAATAAAAACAATAAAGTGCTCACACGATAAACTCTACATGTTATGCCACGGTCTGTGGCTTTGTCAGGGGATACACTATGGCTGTGTCTGGGATACACACTGTGGCTTTGTTAGGGGTAAATTCTTTGGATTCGTCAGGGGTACGCCCTGTGGCTTCGTCAGGGGTACGCACTGTGGCTTCGTCAGGGGTACGCACTGTGGCTTCGTCAGGGGTACGCACTGTGGCTTCGTCAGGGGTACGCACTGTGGCTTCATCAGGGTAAATTCTGTAACTTCATCAGGGTAAACTCTGTGGCTTCATCAGGGATACACACTATGGCTTTGTCAGGGGTAGATTCTGTGGCTTTATCAGCGATATACACTGTGACTTTGTCAGGGTTACACACTCTGGCTTCGTCAGGGTTACACACTCTGGCTTCGTCAGGGTTACACACTCTGGCTTCGTCAGGGTTACACACTCTGGCTGCATCAGATCTATGAACACTGTGGCTTCCTTTACAGGTTAGTATTTTTTTTTTTTTGTAGATCCCTGACATGACAGGGTCACTTCAAAGTTCTTTCTCTGCGGAAGTATTTCCTCTGCAGCTCCCTCCTGGAAATCACTTTGAACGTCGAGGGGGGTTTGGGAAGAGGGGGAGCTGCAGAGTGTTTGGAGTGAACCCCAGTAATATTTTCACTGCCGCTGCCTTAGCAGTGGGTCACTGTGGCTTCTGAAACACTCTGCAATGCATGTGGACTCTGCTCCTTCCTTTCTCAGTCACCTAAACAGATCCTGCACATTCACCTCCTGCACTCCTCTGTGTTGTCAGCTGACTGGCCTCCCATTCATCTAGAGCAGGATATGGAGCACTGGTCACACATTGGGGCACATTAAATACATACAGTGGATGGGCAGATATTACCTGGCTTTCCCGAGGAATGTACGGCTTCTGATTGCTGCCCATTCCGGGCTTCCAGTCATGGTACACATGCAGGCGTCTCAGTGCGTACTCCAGAGCGCGGACATTGTTCTGTATACCTGCAGTACACAGAGCAGCTTCAGTCACAATCACTGCCTGGATCACATTCTACAGCAGATCCCACCACTCTGCCCAGAAAGGTCTCAAATGCTTTCAATGATTATCTGCCCAGTAGAGTAACATCAATCACAGCAGCTCACACAGAGGCTATGGGGCCTGGGGGTGGAAGGGACCCCATTAGTGAAGATACCAGAAAAACAGAAATGTGTCATTAAAGCCCAGCTCCAGACAAATAAAATAAAACATCCCTTGCACTGGGTTTTTTAGTGATAAAATGCTTGTTAGGGATTGGTGATTAGTGTAGGTGCGAGGGATCAGAATGCATATGGCCGCCATAGGAATCGCGAGCAGCCGCAAAGCTAACAGGGTTACAGGAGGATGAGCCAGAAAAATCCAACGCATCTGGATGTCATGGGCAGACCACCTTCTACATTCCTCTTTTATTTGCACATTAATACACCATTTCTACCCACAGGCCCTGCCCCCCACATATGGACCCCCCAGCTTTGACTGCTCTGCCCCACCTATGGACCCCAGTTTTGACTGTTCTGTCCCCACCTATGGACCCCCAGCTTTGACTGCTTTGTCCCTACCTATGGACTCCCTAGCTTGGCTGCTCTGCCCCCACCTATGGGCCCCCCAGCTTTGACTGCTTTGTCCCTACCTATGGACTCTCTAGCTTGGTTGCTCTGCCCCACCTATGGACCCCCAGCTGTGACTGCTTTGTCCCTACCTATGGACTCTCTAGCTTGGTTGCTCTGCCCCACCTATGGACCCCCAGCTGTGACTGCTTTGTCCCTACCTATGGACTCTCTAGCTTGGTTGCTCTGCCCCACCTATGGACCCCCAGCTTTGAATGCTTTGTCCCTACCTATGGACTCTCTAGCTTGGTTGCTCTGCCCCACCTATGGACCCCCAGCTTTGACTGCTTTGTCCCTACATATGGACTCCCTAGCTTTGCTGCTCTGCCCCCACCTATGGACCTCCAGCTTTAAATGCTCTGCCCCCAACTATGGACCCCTCAGCTTTGATGCAACACTGTACCCATATGAATTTTTTAGCATTTGTTTTTAGACGGATAAAGCTTTATTTTGATGATATTTATTCACCACTGGCATTTTTATTATTTTTTTGCTATATAAATGAAAAAGTCCAAAAAGTTTGAAAAAAAAGTGTTTTTCTTATACATTTAGCAAATAAATAGTCTTTCTTCATACATCTTGGCCAAAATGTATTCAGTTATCTTTTTAGTAAAAAAGAAATAACCCCAATTAGTTTATAACCAAAAATTATAATTTTTCGAAAAAAAATGTTTACATTTTTATTTTATTTTTTTTATATTATTATTTATGTTTTTTTTCTTTTACATACTGTCACCCAAGCAGTACAGTGTCACCATGGTGACACTGTACTACTTGTGGGGGGGGATGAAGATTTTTTTTTTTTACACTGATTGCTTTTACACCCATAAAGGCTGTAAAAGCAATAATTTCTCCTTCTCTCTCTGGCAGCCATTGAGAAATACTGTATGAGCTGTGATTGGTCATAGCTTGTCACATGGTACAAGGCTGTTGTGAATAGCCCTGTACCATGTGACCTCTGTGATCATTCACAGATTTCACTAGTAGTAAGCAATGATGTCAGAAGTGACATCTTGCTTACTACTCTGCATGTGATCACTGATTGGCCAATCAGTGATCACATGATCGGGACTTCACACAGAGGTCCCGTACAGCGACCGGTGTTCCACTGTGCCCGGAGGACACAGCAGGCACCGAATCGTGGTGCTGCGCGCTCCCAGGGAGCGCGCACAAGCAGGGTGCGGGAGGCCTTTTATAAACGGCCACCCAACCCTGCACTGCCACCATCCGGCCGTTTATATACAACGGCCAGACAGGAGGTGGTTAAGGACCGGTTCACATCATGCCCGCATCTGAATTGCATAGGAACATTCCTGTGTGATTCAAACTACATGCAAAACGCACTATATTTGCAATCTGCAGCGGGTGTCAGTCAAAAGTTAATGATACCCCAAACGCAGTGCGCTTGTCTGCACCTTGTCGGATGGTAATTTTGTACCATGCAATCTGATTGCAGTGCAATTTGAAAAGTAATGATGCACTACTTTTGGTGCTGTGCGGTACGATTTCAACCCATTCAATGAAAGGATTGAAATCGCATCACACAGAACCGCATGTGAATAGCACAGGAACACGCTGTACAGGCATGAGCTGACCTTAAAACAGAAGATATTCACAGTATGTCTCCTTCCATCACATATGGCGGGTATGAGGACCTGCGGCTTTCAGGTGTTTTTCCAGGACAACTCTTGGAACGTTGGCTTTAACAAGTCTCTAAGGAGTGGAGTCTGCCTGCTTTCAGTCTAGGTGGACTAGAGTACCTTGACCCTATCAGAAGTCTTGGGCCCCGGAGGGTTCAGAGGTTGAGGCCCTTCCTCTTCAGAGGTTGGTCCATTACTGTACCCTCGTGCACTTTTTTTTGTGTTGTGTTTTTACAGTTCACTTTTTTGTTCATTTCGACAAGCACCGTACCATGGCGCTCCGTAATGTTGGGCTATGCAAGATCACCCACGCTGCAGTAACAATAATATAGCGTATGTGACAAACAATAAACAGTAGGGATGCGGCAAAATTTCGGTGGGCAAAATATTTCGGGCGAAAACATCCCTTTCGGCCGTCGGCGATATGAAAAAAAGCACTGATACAGGTGCCGACAAAACCCCGCCCTTCACCCGCCGCTTGGTAGTTCTCAGCCTTTAACAAGACACCATCAATCCCGGCGCTGGCCATAGAGATGAGTGAAGGAAAGATGGCCTTGACTCATCTCTATGCCCTTGGAGGACCGGAGTGATGTCACTTCCCGTTCCAGCCATTTTTTTTTTTTTTTAAAGCACTAGATCAATGCTTTTTTTGTTCCAATGCTTTACATTGCAGAGGAGAGATCTGGGGTCTTATTGACCCCATATCTCTCCATAAAGAGGACCTGTCACTAATTATTTCTAATGCATGCATTTCTTGTGCTAAGAATAAAAGTGAGTACATTTTTTTTTAAAGGGACAGTAAAAAACAAAACAAAAAAACATTAAATACATTTAAAAAATGGGCAGCACAGTGGCTAAATGGTTAGCACTGGCAGTACTAGGGTCGTTGGTTTGAATCCCAACCACAGCACCACCTGCCTGGAGTTTGCATGTTCTCCCTGTGCGAGTTTCCTCTGGGTACTCCGGTTTCCTCCCACACTCCAAAGACATGCTGGTAGGTTAATTGGTTCCTGTCTAAATTGTCCCTAGTATGTGTATGTATGAATGTGAGTTATGGACCTTAGATTGTACACCCCTTGAGGGTTAGGGACTGATGTGAATGTACAATATGTATGTAAAGTGCTGAGTAAATTGACGGCGCTATATAAGTACCTGAAATAAATAAAATAAATAAATAAAAAAGTTTAAAGTGCCCCCGCCCCCCCCGTGCTCGCACCTAGTGGTGAACGCATACATAGGCCAGGCCCACATATGTAAATGGTGTTCAAACCACACGTCAGAGCGAGAGCAATAATTCTCGCACTAGAACGCCTCTGTAACTTTACACTACTAACCTGTAGAAATTTTTAAAGCATCACCCATGGAGATTTGTAAGTACCGCAGTTTCACGCCATTCCACAAGCGTGCGCAATTTTAAAGCGTGACATGTTGGGTATCTATTTACTGCCGTAACATCCTCTTTCATATTTTACAAAAAAATTGTGGTGTATATTGGGTTTTTTTTGTTTTTTTTTAATCAAAGTGTATTTTTTTCCAACAAATAAATATTCATTTTTAAAAACTGCGTATTTCGGTTTCAGTTTTCAGCCAAGTGCATTTTGAATTTTCGGTTTCGGCACCAGAATTTTCATTTCGGTGCACCACTAATAAACAGCTTCTGTTTGAAGACCTATAAATTCCAAATCAAAGCAAAACGACCCACGAAAGCAGGGGTGCTCATCCAGAGTGAGGGCCACTTAAGTGATTTGATCACCGGTCATGGGCCACAATGAAATGAAATGATCCAAAATTTTAAATAATTTTGATTTTATTTTGAATAGCATAATGAACATTTCCTCCTTAATGCCGACGGGATGGAGAGGAGGAGGAGCCAGCTTTCAGCGTTTGCAGGAGGACAATGGAGAGGACTGGTTCCTGTATATGCTGCTTCTCCTGTCCAAGAGTAAAACAGAATGTGACAGGGAGATTGCACGGGCCCACCGGGGGGAATGGGGTGGGGTCACCATTACGACCAGTGGTTGGAGGTGTGTGGTAAAAACATGTCTCAACTATGGGCTTTTACCTCCCTCCCCTAACCACAAATGTAAATGAGCCCTTACTGTCCTGAGCCCCCTATAAAGTGGCTTTCACACTGATCCGTGAGTGCAGCGCAGTACATCTACAACTTTCCTGCAGGTTACTTGTACTTTGCCATAGACTTCTATGATATCTTGCGGCTGAGGTGCACTTTCAGAAAGCCCACCAAACTCACAGGATATAATAGAAGTCTACGGTTCAGTGCAGCTAATCTGCAGGAAAGCCACAGGTGCACTGCGCTGCACTCACGGATCAATCTGAAAGCAGCCTAATAGTTGTAACCCTTTTATAGGTGCTAACATGTCCATGGCAAAAGCGCAGTCTATGTGATGTTTAATATATGGACCTTTTTTTTCCCCACTTCCAGCTTCTACTAGCTTTGCTCTCTAGGCTGCCGAAAGATCCCAGGCAAAATGCAGTTTGTATCCCCCCACCTGGGACACGAGCCGGCGCTAGAGGAAGCATGGGCTTATGCGGCTCCTGCTCTCTCCACGATCGCCTACTTTCTCAGCTGCTGGCACCAACTCAATGCTCTGGGATGGTGGGTCGGCAAGCCTAGATAGCGATCAACAGGTTGCCGATCCTGGGTATGGCTTCCCTGGTTTGAGGTTGAGGGCCACATCAGAAGGCCCTGATGGCCACAGGTTGAGTACCATGGCCACAGGTTGAGTACCCATGGCCACAGGTTGAGTACCCATGGCCACAGGTTGAGTACCCATGGCCACAGGTTGAGTACCCATGCTCTAGAAGGAACAGACAGTGCTTACAATATTCGTGCAATTTACACCATAAATAAAAACCAGATAATGTTCATAGTGTAATGAGATAAATAACAAAAGTCACTCATATAAAATCCAAACCTAGGGACAGTGCTCTGTGTCATATACTGTATGGTTTTTATTTATGATGTAAGTTACACGAATATTGTAAGCGCTGTCTGCTCTCTTAGAGGGTCATTTTACATTATATTTGCACTATACATAAGTCTGGCCAATGGGTTGTAAAGCAATGATTTTGCTCTGCCCACTGTCCTGAAAAAAGGGAATAATCCTCTAATTTTTGGGATATGTGATGGAATGAGACATGCAAATATCTACTCTTCTAAGACGGCTTTACTGTGCTACATGCTTTTGATCTCAGACTCTCCAGGCTTTACTGTGCTACATACTTTTCATCTCAGCCTCTCCACATTACACCCTCCAGCCACTCAACTCCCTTATTCCCCCACACAGGATATATATCATTTCACTCCTTAAGCCTGTGTTCAAACTCCATACTGATAGGGTCCAGGTTGGGATATGAACCAAAGACCCTTGTGTTGCAAGGCAGAATTTTCTTGCAGTACTAGGGTCTTCAGGGCTGCAATGTGCTGCCTAGACATATTATTATGTCCTGTCATTTTCTCTGTCCGAACCAGAAGGTAGTGGTGCCTGTGTGCACTGGAACCGGACAGGTGAATTCTGGAACTCGCCTTCCAGATGTGTCTACAGGTACCTTTGTAAAGATGAACAGTCCTCTATTTACCTGCTAGCATCCAGGACACCATTTCCATCAGTTCTGTAACCTGAAAATGTTTCAGTAAAAATGTATTGAAAGAAAGAAAGGTGAGCAGAGAGTTACCATAACCCCCCATTGATGGTGAGAGCAGTCCATGCTTCATGGCAGAGGGAAGGATCGAGGTGCGTCAGAGACAATCCAAATGTGAACTCACCATTTGGTTCTATGAAATCAGGGTCAGTCTTCACATCGTAGAACTCCTCATAGCCTCTGAAATTCTCTGGGATCTCTGTATGTTCTAGATTCTGGCTGATTTCCAAATCTTGTTCCTCCTGGGTGGTGCCTGAGCTGGTGCAGTGCGGGTGGTCCAACAGATCGTCCACCTGTATAATGTATAACTCCTCCCCTGAGTAAGTTGTCAATGATAAATAGGGTGCAAACAAGCTATGGTTGGTTACATTTGACATTGTCCTCTCTTGGATTACTTCTTTTATTCAATTTAACTATATAACATTTTTATTAAACCTTTGACAGCTATCATGACTCATTTTCCAGAGGATAGGAGACAGTTTGTAGGGTCAGGCATAATACTCTCTCCAACCTACTTTTCCTGTAAGTGGTATCTTTTGATTGGGGTTCAGTAAGGATACTGGTTGCAGTCTGGCATACAGAAGACCACTATATAGAGCTCCTCTAGCTCCATATATTAAATATAACTCTGTAATTTTGGCACCTAAAACTAAGAAAATTAAAATGTGTAAATTAGACCTTTCATTAGTAGGCATGTAAGAGTTCAGACATCCGGCACTGACCTGCGTCATGAAGACAGACTCAACGGTTGGTTCAGAGCTGAAATTCATCTCCTCCTCTGATGGCTCATGCATTCCGCTGGATTCTCGATTCTGTCCCATGGTGGAGTCTTGATCTCTCTTTGGAGAAGTTCTGATTGGAGGGAGAGGACTGGATGACATCACATGTTCTGTGATGTCACTGTCATGACCAAACTGTCTCAGAAAAGGAAGTAGTGGAGGCTCAATCATCAGAGGCTGCTTGGGGATTTTAGGGACGTGCGTGCTGACCTTCCAGTAGAGAAAAAAACGTTAGTGTAACTTTTCACAAATGCAGCTCCACAAAGATCTAGATCCAACAATTACCAGACTGTTAGCCCAAGACCCTGAGACAGGGATCAGTCTGTGCCTCCTCTTTCCTTTCACAATATTCACATCAACCTCTGCATCAGAGGAGCTTACACTCTAATGCCCCCCCCCCCCCCACACACTATTATACATTTTATATAGCTCTGACATATACCGCAGTGCTGTACAGAGATCACTAAGCCAGTAACATCAACCTCGGCATCAGAAGAGCTTACACTCTAAAGTCCCTCACACTATTATTATACATTTATATAGCTCTGACATATACCGCAGTGCTGTACAGAGATCACTGAGCCAGTCACATCAGTCTCTGCATCAGAGGAGCTTACACTCTAATGTCCCCACACTCACACACTATTTTTATACATTTATATAGCTCTGACATATACCGTAATGTTGTACAGAGATCACTAAGCCAGTCACATCAGTCTCTGTACCAGAGGAGCTTACACTCTAAAGTCGCCCCACACTCACACACTATTATTATACATTTATATAGCTCTGACATATACCGCAGTGCTGTACAGAGAACACTGAGCCAGTCACATCAGCCTCTGCACCAGAGGAGTTTACACTCTAATGTCCCCTCCCCCACAGTCACATCAGTCTCTGCATCAGAGGAGCTTACACTCTAATGTCCCCCCCACTCACACACTATTATTATACATTTATATAGCTCTGACATATACCGCAGTGCTGTACAGAGATCACTAAGCCAGTCACATCAGTCTCTGTACCAGAAGAGCTTACACTCTAATGTCCCCTCCCCCACAGTCACACACTATTAATTACTATAATACATTTATATAGCTCTGACATATACCGCAGCGCTGTACAGAGATCACTAAGCCAGTCACATCAGTCTCTGCACCAGAGGAGCTTACACTCTAATGTCCCCCCAAACTCACACATAATTTTTATACATTTATATAGCTCTGACATATACCGCAGTGCTGTACAAAGATCACTAAGCCAGTCACATCAGTCTCTGTACCAGAGGAGCTTACACGCTAATGTCCCCTCCCCCACAGTCACATCAGTCTCTGTACCAGAGGAGCTTACACTCTCCAGCAGGTGATGCTGTTCTGCAAAGTGCTGCTAGCTCACTCTACTGTGCTCTCAGCCAGGACTGACACCAATCCTGGGGCTGTCTGGCCGGCTTCTCCCCGGCCATGATGCAAGAAGCCAAGGAAGATCAAGGTGGAGGCTTCCCAGAGGGACTGAGGCCTACGCCGCATGGTCAAGCTGTCATGGATCCTGGGCTTGTCCTTATGCGGGACGAGTTCCTACCAGCTTTTCAAGGCAGAGTGCTGAACAAACTTCGCCGAATCACTATGGAAGAGCAGAAGATTGCTGTCCTGAAGGCAGAATTCAGGAAAAGGAAATCTTTGCATGGCAAGACTTGAAGCAGTAAGAGGAAAGACTCCAAGTTGAAGTCTCTTGAAGGGGCATTGAAGAAGCAGGAAAAGTTGGTGGCCTCTCTGAAAGAAAGCAGTGGAGCCTGTGCCAGTACCAGCAAGAGGACAGATACCACAGCAACGGCGACAGTATGGATGTCTCAGGATCTGTCGCATCCAAGTCTGTATCTGCCCCATTGCAGAATATTCCACTTCTTTTCCTTCAAAAGCCCCTGGGTTGCTTTTGCAGTGTGTTTTGGATCATTGTCCATCTGTACTGTGAAGCACCATCCAATCAACTTTGCTACATTTGGCTGAATCTGGGCTGACAGTATATCTGTAAACACTGCAGAATCCCTCCGGCTGCTTCTGTCTTCTGTCACATCATCAATAACCACCAATGACCCAGTGCCACTGAAAGCCATGCATGCCCATGCCATCACACTGCCTCCATCATGGTTTACAGATGACGTTGTGTGCTTTGGATCATGAGCTGTTCAAGCCTTCTCCACACTTTTTCCTTCCCGTCATTCTGGTACAGATTCATCTTAGCTTCATCTGTCCAAAGATTGCTTTTCCAGAACTGGTCTGGCTTTTCTAGATGTTTTTTGGCAAAGTCTAATCTGGCTTTTCTATTCTTCAGGGTTATGAATGGTTTGCACCTTGTGGTGAACCCTCTGTATTTGCTCTCATGAAGTCTTCTCTTGATTGTAGACTTTGACAATGGTAAGTCCACCTCCTGGAGAGTGTCCTTCACTTGTCTGGATGTTGTGAATGGGTTTTTCTTTACCATAGAGAGGATCCTGTGATCATTCACCACTGCTGTCTTCCGTGGACTTCCATGCCTTTTATGATACTGAGTTCACCAGTGCCTTCTTCTTTCCCAGAATGTACCAAACTGTTGATTTGGCCTCTCCTAATGTTGCTGCTATCTCTCTGATGGATTTGTTTTGTTTTTGAAGCCTTACAATGGCCTGTTTCACTTGCATGGACAGCTTCTTTGAACGCATGATGTAGGTTCACAGCCATAGATTCCAAATGCAAATACCACACTTAGAATCATCTCCAGATCTACCTGCTTAATTGATGTAGAAACCTGAAGGAGTAGCCCACACCTGGCCATGAAACAGCTTTTGATTAAATTGTCCAATTACTTTTGGTCCCTTGAAAAAGGGGGGGATGGCTACTCTTAAGAGCTGTAATTCCTAAACCCTTCCTCCAATTTGGATGTACATACCCTCAAATTAAACCTGAGAGTGAGCACTTTCAGCCCATATCATTATATAACTATAGCTGGAATATGTTTTGGTAAATACCTGAAAAAAACTATAATTGTGCCTGTGTCCAAATATATATGGACCAAACTGTATACTGTATATAGCTCTAACATATACCACGGCATTATGATTATCTCATCATTAGCAGTATCAGGATGGAAATATATGAGTTACTATCTCTGACCTCCTTTAGGAAATGCTATTTGTCTGGCTCTCTCATGCTTCTGTACTTTCTGATATTCAGACATGTTCTAGATCAGTGACTCCGAAATAAATGAAGTCAGAGGATTAACATGGCAACCAGGCAGCCAGTAATTTCATAAAGACAGTCACATGTCTTCCAATGGAGGTTTCCTTGATGAAGATCAACACTTCAAGCACAGCCTAGGTGGGGTGGAAGGAAGGTTATCTCTCACCTTTCTCTTTTCTTTGATGGGAATCACCAAGTGAGGTTTACCAACTGCCACCATTTTTTTCCGAGCAATTTTCACTCCAAGGCGTTCTTGGAGGAAGCTCTTCAGCAAGGGAGGATCTCCTGTCCGAGAAGAAAATGGGATTTAATTGCTTCAAGAGACTCTGTTACTTTGCCTTGAATTGGCACTTAAAAGTCCATGCCATCTATACTCTCCCCTGTGGCTGTATTCCTTGGTTGGCACTGGAAAACATACCTTGTGTAAGCTGTGTGCCCACTCTCATGCAGTGACTGGCCACTCAAGGCCGAGTACAGCATCATGGCAAGCAACTGCAGTATATGCTCCCCTATACCTGGAAGCACTGGGTATTTCATAAGGGCTTTGCCAGGGAAAGAAACAGAAAGGGAATATGGCAAGGGTGGGGGGATATTAAGAGACTCTGTTGCCTTCCCTGGGCCATTGTCTCTTAAGGTTTTCCATGCATAACCACTACAATAGCAGTGAATGGCTTGGTTTATTCCTTTCACACAGTCCTAAAGGGGTAGGCTCCCATGGCACAGCTGTTGTCAACATGCTCTTCCTCTCCTCTGCAGCAGCTGCTCACCGATACAGGGGAGACAGAGCAGCAGGATCACATGTCTGGAATTAAGTTAAGGTAAGTAGGTAAGGTAAGTAAAGTATGTTTTATACAGGGTATTCAGGACTGGTGTGGGGATGGGGGAGGGGGTAGATGCAGAGTCTGACCATATCCTGTAGTATGTATGCAGTCTCTGACCATCTCCTATACTATGTTCAGTCTCTGACCTCTCCTGTAGTATGTCTGCAGTCTCTGACCATCTCCTATACTATGTTCAGTCTCTGACCTCTCCTGTAGTATGTCTGCAGTCTCTGACCATCTCCTATACTATGTTCAGCCTCTGACTATCTCCTGTAGTATGTCTGCAGTCTCTGACCATCTCTTGTAGTATGTCTGCAGTCTCTAGATATCTCTTGTAGTATGCTTGCAGTCTCTGGCCATCTCCTGTTGTATGTTTTCAGTCTCTGACCATCTCCTGTAATATGTCTGCAGTCTCTAACTGTCTTCTGTAGTATGTCTGAACTCTCTGATCATCTCCTGTAGTATGTCTGCAGTCTGTGTCTGCAGTCTGTGATCATCTCCTGTAGTATGTCTGCAGTCTGTGATCATCTCCTGTAGTATGTCTGCAGTCTGTGATCATCTCCTGTAGTATGTCTGCAGTCTGTGATCATCTCCTGTAGTATGTCTGCAGTCTCTAACTGTCTCTGTACTATGTCTGCAGTCTCTGATCATCTCCTGTACTATGTCTGCAGTCTCTGATCATCTCCTGTAGTATGTCTGCAGTCTCTGATCATCTCCTGTAGTATGTCTGCAGTCTCTGATCATCTCCTGTAGTATGTCTGCAGTCTCTGATTATCTTCTGTAGTATGTCTGCAGTCTCTGATCATCTCCTGTAGTATGTCAGCAGTCTCTGACCATCTCCTGTATCATGTCTGCAGTCATTGCCCATCTCCTACATTATTTTTGCAGTCTCTGACCATCTCCTACAGTATTTCTTCAGTCTCTGAGCATCTCCTGTAATAGGTCTACAGTCTCTGACCGTCTCTCCTGTAGTATGTCTTCAGTCAGGAACGGAGTGTACTTGGAATATCTGACAGCCCAGACTGCTCTAAATAATCCAGGTATTTTCAGTAATAATAATGAAAGGGAGTTCAGATTGTGTCACATGCCCTTCTGAACCAAGCAACCCGAGAGCAGTACTGTTCAGACCTACAGAACCAAAACAAAACACTGTTTTTTGTTTTTTTTCTACAAGTAGGTCCATGATGACAAGTTGTCACCTGGTCCCATTGACCTTATGCCTGTGGCAGGTGAAATCTGCAAATTTCATTCTGCTTGGTCGTTTTGGCATCACAGACAGTTTGTTATTTCAAGGATCGTTTACCATTCTTATAGTCTAGCTTATTGTATATCTCCCCCTCCATAATAGAAAAATGCGTGTATTCTAAGAATTTTTTTCCCTAAATACCATGCTTAAGCTCTTTCACTGCTTTGTTTCCTTGCCTATGTGAGAATAAGCCTATGTATATATATATATACATACAGTGGGGATCGAAAGTTTGGGCACCCCAGCTAAACATTTGTATTAATGTGCATAAGAAGCCAAGGAAAGATGGAAAAATCTCCAAAAGGCATCAAATTACAGATTAGACATTCTTATAATATGTCAACAAAAGTTAGATTTTATTTCCATCATTTACACTTTCAAAATAATAGAAAACAAAAAAATGGCGTCTGCAAAAGTTTGGGCACCCTGCAGAGTTAATATCTTGTACTGCCCCCTTTGGCAAGTATCACAGCTTGTAAACGCTTTTTGTAGCAGCCAAGAGTCTTTCAATTCTTGTTTGAGGTATCTTTGCCCATTCTTCCTTACAAAAGTCTTCAGTTCTTTGAGATTTCTGGGCTGTCTGTCACGCACTGCTCTTTTAAGGTCTATCCATAGATTTTCAATTATGTTGAGGTCAGGAGATTGTGAAGGCCATGGCAAAACCTTCAGTTTACGCCTCTTGATGTAATCTCCCGTGGATTTCGAGGTGTGTTTAGGATCATTATCCATTTGTAGAAGCCATCCTCTCTTTAACTTCAGCTTTTTCACAGATGGCATCAAGTTACCATCCAAAATTTGCTGAAATTTTATTGAATCCATTTTTCCTTCTACTCGTGAGATGTTCCCTGTGCCACTGGCTGCAACACAACCCCAAAGCATGATTGATCCAACCCCATGCTTAACAGTTGGACAGAGGTTCTTTTCATTAAATTCTGTGCCCCTTCTTCTCCAAACGTACCTTTGCTCATTCCGGCCAAAAAGTTCAATTTTAACCTCATGGGTCCACAGAACTTGTTTCCAAAATGCATCAGGCTTGTCTATATGTTCATTTGCAAAGTTCAAACGATGATTTTTGTGGTGAGGACGTAGAAGAGGTTTTCTTCTGATGACTCTTCCATGAAGACCATATTTATACAAGTATCTCTTTATAGTGGAATAGTGTACCACAACTCCAGTGTCTGCCAGATCTTTCTGGAGGGATCGTGCAGTCAAACATGGGTTTTGAATTGTTTTTCTCACAATCCTGCGAGCTGTTCTGTCTGATATTTTTCTTGGTCTTCCAGATCTTGCTTTAACTTCCACTGTTCCTGATTGACTGCCATTTCTTAGTTACATTCCGAACGGAGGATATTGACATCTGAAAACGCTTTGCTAACTTCTTATGGCCTTCGCCAGCTTTGTGAGCATCAACTATTTTCAGTTTCAGTTTCAGTTTTCTAGACAACTGCTTAGAAGAACCCATGGTGCTGATTGTTGGGGCAAGGTCAGGTGAGTCTGGGCATTTAAAACCTTTGAGAATGACATCACCTGGTCTTCCCAGACGATGAATGAGAACAATCCATGACACTGGCAGGTCTCAGCTTGGCAAAGGGGGCAGTGCATGCTATAAATTCTGCATGGTGCCCAAACTTTTGCAGACGCCATTTTTTTGTTTTCTGTTATTTTGAAAGTGTAAATGATGGATAAAATCTAACTTTTGTTGACATATTATAAGAATGTCTAATCTGTAATTTGATGCCTTTTGGAGATTTTTCCATCTTTCCTTAGCTTTTTTATGCACATTAATACAAATTTTTAGCTGGGGTGCCCAAACGTTCGATCCCCACTGTATATATATATATATATATATATATATATATATATATATGTGATTTTTCAGTCCTGGATAGGGGGTGCACGCACGTGACAGGTCCCAGAAGACAACAGGGCCGTTCACAAAGTGCAGCGCTCCTCGTGCATGCGTAGTGGGCACCCCAATGTGAAGCCGCAAGCTGTCACAGCCGGGTGCCCACACTGAAGGCGCCGGGGAGAGAAGACAGCCGGTGAAACCAGTGGTGGTGAGGACACCGCTGGACCGAGGGACAGGTAAGTGACTGTATTTTAAAAGTCAGCAGCTAGTTTTTGTAGCTGCTGAATTTTATTTTTTTTTTTTTCCAGCTGGAACTCCACTTTAACTACCTCAATACCAGCATGTTTTTTCACTTCCAAAAAACTGTGGTAAAAAATTAGATCCACTCTCCAAAAAGTGGCAATTTCAGGGTTTTCGTTCTGTCCTGGCAATTTTATTTGAACATTTATACCAAAAAGTAAGGGGACCAGTTTTTTTTTTTTCAAGTGTTCTATCTTTTGTCCTTTATATAATATAAAGCTTGTTCATAAATACCACCAAATAAAGCTATCTCCTTCCTTAAAAAAAAAATACAAGGTATATTTTTGTACAGTGTTGCATGACCCAGTAATTGTCAATCAAACTATCACTTCACTGAAAAATGGCTTGGAAAGGAAGGGAGTGTAACTTGCTGGTATTGAGGGGATTAACTGTAATGTACTAGCATTTATTTGTCAGATGGGGGGGAGGTCCTCTTTAACACATACAAATGTGGGGTCTGATACCCATCTGTCCGGATATACCTCCTATACATCTCCTAGATTGTAATCTCCCAGGATCAGGGCCCTCCTATCCCTTTTGTATTGAACTGTATTGTTGCTGTATTGTCTCCCGTTATATTGTAAAGCGCTGAGCAAACTGTTGGCGCTATATAAATCCTGTATAATAATAATAGTATACCTTTGATATATTCTACAGCTCACAGAACAGTCACTAGAATGATTGGAACCATGCTTGGTTAGAGGTTCACCAGGTTTGAACCTTTACCTTTCCAGCGGGTAGTCAATGGGTTCCCATGGATCACCAGCTCCTCCAGGGTTGGGAAGAGAGCCACAGCTAACAGGTCCTCTTCATGTTCTATCTAAGAAAAATTAAAACATTTACTTCCAAAATGAGTTCCAAACAGATTCATCTACATACAAAGCATCGACCTACAATGATAAAATAACTGGATCACCTTTTAATATCTAAACCTTTCACCCTTTCTTTTTCTTTTCCTGTTAACAGACCAAAAAGGAGGAAATGAGAGAAGTTCATAGTTTGGATTTACATACAAATTAGGTCTCATGTACACAGGTGGACCTATCTGTACACCCATGTGAAGGGATATCTTTGCCTGCATTGGATGTATAGGTGTTCCTGTGCAGGTGCGTGTCCTCAAACACAGGCAGCGCGCATTCAAGGACACTTACCTGCACAGCTGTCAAATCCCAATAGACATGAATGGGACTGCCTGCACATGTATGCACATAACACACGTGTATCCCGTGTGGGTAAGATGGCTGTTCATACAGGTGTACAGATACAGATGTGTGAAGGAGGCCTTAAGACAGGGGTGGTCAACTTTTTGAAGAGCGAGGGCCACTTGAGCGATTTGGTAACTGGTTGCGGGACACAATGAAATGAAATATTCAGAATTTCAATTTTTAAATAGCATAATGAACATTTTCCCCCTGCAGCCAATGAATGCCGGTGGGAGGGATCAGAGAAGCAGCCAGCTTTCGGCAGTTGCAGGAGGAAAATGAAAGGATCGGTTCCTGTATATGCAGCCCCTGGCACCCCTCAACTCTAAAACAGAATGTGAGGTCGCAAGGTTTCCCTGGAGCATGGGGCGAGGTCGCCATTGTGACCCTTGACACTACACCAGTGGTTGGAGAGGTATGGTAAAAACAACCCGCCCCCCCAAACAGCGAATGTAAATGAACCATTACTGCCCCTGAGCTCCCTATAAGGCTGCTTTGATGCGCTGAGGTTTACCCGCACTGTGAGTACAGCACAGTCCACCCACAGGTTATGTGCTCTTTACCATAGACTTCTATTGTATCTATCAGGTGTCATGCACTTTCTGAAAGAACACCAAGACTCCTGCATTCAATTTGAGGTCAAGGGCCACATCAGAGGTCTCTGAAGGCCATATGTGGCCTGTGGGCCACAGGTTGAGGATCCCTGCCTTAAGATCAAGGAAAGTATGATGAATGATAATTTATTTCCGAATAGCCCATTGACCAATCAGAATCCATGCATGATATATTTATTGTATTAATGCTGGCAGCATCACATATACCCTGAGCAGCCAATCAGATTGAGGCTGCACATTGCACATTCAAAGCTGACCCTTCATTGATTACATTAGGAAATACAGAGACGCCTCCTTTCTTCCACTATGAGGATGTAAGGCACAACGTCCGACCACAACAGCCAGAGGTACGCTCTGCCTCATTCATTGTGGACCTGCATAAATCCCCAAGTACGCACATACCTTGTTGTCAGCCAGGCTGAGGGTTGTCAGGCTCGGCAGTGGAGGAGTGAAGGACTGGATTAGCTCTTCTGTGGAGGACAGCAGGAAGCTGGGCAAGACTGAGGAGCTGATGGTGGTCTCTGGGGGCTTCTGTCAGAAGAAGATAAGGAGACTCCAGCATACTAAGACCATAACCAGTCCGTCCATTGTCACTACAGAACAGGGGGCACTAAGGGGCCATGTGTGAACACAACTAAAATCACCCCCCCCCCCCCTTAATACCCCTCCTTTGTGGACCATTCTTACATTTCTGCTATAGGCAAGTTTAACCAATAACTTTGTCACCACTTAGGATAACAAAGTAATACATGCATATGTAATACATACAGAGAAAAACATAGATAACTTTTTTTTAGGTCAAACAAGGCTTTCTTTTGGAGATATCAGACAGAAATGAAAAGTATTTTCTTTAGTAGCATATGGAAAGGTAGAACCATGGAAAGATTTTCATCTCTGGTCATGTAAAAGAGTGATATGATCATCCAATATAAATTTGCTGTTTAATACTTACCGGGAAGGGATTAGAAGATTTGGCGCTCTGTATGGATGGGAATATCACTTCTGCAAACAAAAAAAGTAATTTAATGCAAAGTTACAAGGGAACCTGTAAAGAAAAATATATTATTTTGTTTAGGTATTAATGAATTTAGTGTCTTTTGTACATTTTTATTTAGTTATAGCCCAACTCACAATAGAGGTGAGCGGACAGAGGGTCACTGGCCATAGAGATGAGGGGACAGAGGGTCACAGGTCATAGAGGTGAGAAGACAGAGGGTCACAAGTCATAGAGGTGAGGGGACAGAGGGTCACTGGTCATATAGGTGAGAAGACAGAGGGTCACTGGTCATAGAAATGAGGGGAAAGAGGGTCACTGGCCATAGAAGTGCGGGGACAGAGGGTCACTGGTCATAGAAATGAGGGGACAGAGGGTCACTGGCCATAGACGTGCGGGGACAGAGGGTCACTGGTCATGGGGTGAAGGGACAGAAGGTCATTGGTTATAGAGGTGAGGGGACAGAGGGTCACTTACCATACAGGTGGAGGGACAGTGGGTCACTGGTTATAAAGGTGAGGGGGGCAGAGGGTCACTTATCACACAGGTGGAGGGACAGAGGGTCACTGGTCATAGAGGTGAGGGGACAGGGGGTCAGTGGCCATATAGGTGAGGGGACAGAGGGTCACTGGCCATAAAGGTGTGGGGACAGAGGGTCACTGGCCATAAAGGTGTGGGGACAGAGGGTCATTGGTTATAGAGGTGAGGGGACAGAGGGTCACTGGTCATGGGGTGAAGGGACAGAGGGTCATTGGTTATAGAGGTGAGAGGACAGAGGGTCACTTACCATACAGGTGGAGGGACAGTGGGTCACTGGTTATAAAGGTAAGGGGGGCAGAGGGTCACTTATCACACAGGTGGAGGGACAGAGGGTCACTGGTCATAGAGGTGAGTGGACAGGGGGTCACTGGCCATAGAGGTGAGGGGACAGAGGGTCACTGGCCATAAAGGTGTGGGGGCAGAGGGTCATTGGTTATAGAGGTGAGGGGACAGAGGGTCACTGGCCATAACGGTGAGGGGACAGAGGGTCATTGGTTATAGAGGTGAGGGGACAGAGGGTCACTGGTTATAGAGGTGAGGGGGACAGAGGGTCACTGGTCATAGAGGTGAGGGGACAGAGGGTCACTGGTCATAGAGGTGAGGGGACAGGGGGTCACTGGTCATAGAGGTGGGGGGACAGAGGGTCACTTACCATAGAGGTGAGGGGAACAGAGGGTCACTGGTCATATAGGTGAGGGGGACAGAGGGTCACTGGTCATAGAGGTGAGGGGAACAGAGGGTCACTGGTCATATAGGTGAGGGGGACAGAGGGTCACTGGTCATAGAGGTGAGGGGGTAGAGGGTCACTTACCATAGAGGTGAGGGGACAGAGAGACACTTATCATAGAGGTGAGGGGACAGAGAGACACTTACCATAGAGGTGAGGGGGACACAGGGTCACTGGTCATAGAGGTGAGGGGGCAGAGGGTCACTGGTCATAGAGGTGAGGGGGCAGAGGGTCACTTACCATAGAGGTGAGGGGGGGACACAGGGTCACTGGTCATAGAGGGTCACTGGTGAGGGGGGGGCAGAGGGTCACTTACCATAGAGGTGAGGGGGACACATGGTCACTGGTCATAGAGGTGAGGGGGAGGGGACTTACATGGTCACTGGTCATAGAGGTGAGGGGGCAGAGGGTCACTTACCATAGAGGTGAAGGGGACAGAGGATCACTGGTCATAGAGGTGAGGGGGACAGACTTTCACTGGTCATAGAGGTGAGGGGGACAGAGGGTCACTGGTCATAAAGATGAGGGGACAGACTTTCACTGGTCATAGAGGTGAGGGGGACAGAGGGTCACTGGTCATAAAGATGAGGGGACAGAGGGTCACTCTCTAGAGATATTAAAGGACTGCAGTGTCACTTACCTGTCCTGTCTGGATCCTTAGTGCTGGGTAGGACCATGTAGTCCAGCTTTTCATCCATCCCCTCACACAGAGAACTCTCTCTGTCTCTCATCTCTGGGGTCTTGTGACTACCCTTCACAGCGGTGTCCATGTTCTCTGCCTCTCCATCCTGCAGGCTGCTCTCAGATTGATGAAGGTACGGGACCGCAGTGATACCATTACCGTCCAGGTTCAGCAGACGTAGACTACAGACAATAAATAAATGAATGATTATAATAAAGATATATAAACACATGAATACATTATATCCAGGAATAAGATAACAAATCCATAGCTTCTTTCTACATACAGGAGACAAATGTGGAAGTGTGGGGATGGTGTCCCAATGCAGGAATTCAGAATGACCCCAATGAATGCTCGGTCAGTTCAGTGCCGAGCCCAGCTGTGTGATCATTATGTAACTTCCATTTATTTATTACAGATGTTTATATAGCGCCAACTAGTTAGGCTGCACTTTTATTTTGTACATACATCTCAGTTCCTGGCTGCAAAGAGCTTACAATCCAAGGTCACTACCATCCATACACATAGTAGGGCCAGTTTAGGTGCTTTGGCAGCATGTCTTCAGAGTATGGGAGGAAACCCATGCAAACACAGGGAGAGCATGCAAACTCCATGCCCAGATTGGCCCAGATTTCAACCAAGGACCCAGGTGCTAACTATTAAGCCACTGTACTAAACCTTGAATGTATAAAATGTATATGGTAACAGGTGAAGGTGCGGTAAATATTTGACAAATGTGTGACTAAAAAAGCAGTGATTTTATTCACTGGAAGTTATTGGATAAATCAGCTTTACTTCCAAATTTTCCTAAACCCAGGACCCTGCATTCACTATATCTGGTCTCCCCGGACCCTGCATTCACTATATCTGATCTCCCAGGACCCTGCATTCACTATATCTGGTCTCCCAGGACCCTGCATTCACTATATCTGGTCTCCCAGGACCCTGCATTCACTATATCTGGTCTCCCAGGACCCTGCATTCACTATATCTGGTCTCCCCGAACCCTGCATTCACTATATCTGGTCTCCCCGAACCCTGCATTCACTATATCTGGTCTCCCAGGACCCTGCATTCACTATATCTGATCTCCCAGGACCCCGCATTCACTATATCTGGTCTACCAGGACCCTGCATTCACTATATCTGGTCTCCCAGGACCCTGCATTCACTATATCTGGTCTCCCCGGACCCTGCATTCACTATATCTGGTCTCCCAGGACCCTGCATTCACTATATCTGGTCTCCCAGGACCCTGCATTCACTATATCTGGTCTCCTAGGACCCTGCATTCACTATATCTGGTCTCCCAGGACCCCGCATTCACTATATCTGGTCTCCCAGGACCCCGCATTCACTATATCTGGTCTCCTAGGACCCTGCATTCACTATATCTGATCTCCCAGGACCCTGCATTCACTATATCTGGTCTCCCAGGACCCTGCATTCACTATATCTGGTCTCCTAGGACCCTGCATTCACTACATCTGATCTCCCAGGACCCTGCATTCACTATATCTGGTCTCCCAGGATCCTGCATTCACTATATCTGGTCTCCCAGGACCCTGCATTCATTATATCTGCTCTGCCAGGACCTTGCATTCACTATACCTGGTCTTCCTGGACACTGCATTCACTATATCTGGTCTTCCTGGACACTGCATTCACTATATCTGGTCTCCCCGGATCCTGCATTCACTATATGTGGTCTCCCAGGACCCTGCATTCTCTATATCTGGTCTCCCTGGACCCCGCATTCACTATATCTGGTCTCCCAGGACCCCGCATTCTCTATATCTGGTCTCCCTGGACCTTGCATTCATTATATCTGCTCTGCCAGGACCCTGCATTCACTATACCTGGTCTTCCTGGACACTGCATTCACTATATCTGGTCTTCCTGGACACTGCATTCACTATATCTGGTCTCCCAGGACCCCGCATTCTCTATATCTGGTCTCCCTGGACCCCGCATTCACTATATCTGGTCTCCCAGGACCCCGCATTCTCTATATCTGGTCTCCCTGGACCTTGCATTCACTATATCTGGTCTCCCAGGACCCCGCATTCTCTATATCTGGTCTCCCTGGACCTTGCATTCTCTATATCTGGTCTCCCTGGACCTTGCATTCACTATATCTGGTGTCCCACACTACACAGAATATGGAAAAGCAATTCGTTTAGTAAATGCCTTTTCTCATCAGCAGTTAGAGCAGTCTTGTGATTTCTATCAGTGTCCAGCCAAGCACATTTTAAAGCTAGTAGGAGGAGTTTTAATTTTGCTCTAGGAGGATGCAGAACCCCTGACCTCTGTGCGGACTAGTGCTGATTGGCCCTGTGCTGATTACATACACTCTCTCAAGAAAAAAAAAAAAAAACAACTTCTCTAGCAACATACACCAAGCTGAGCATGTACAGAGTGACTCTATATGATATGTCTTATCAGAAGATAAGAGGGGGACCCTGAAAGAAGGGGAGGATCAGAGAAAACAGGATCAAACAATGTTTTTACACAATAAGAAGGTTAACCCCTTAGGTTCCACATTGAGTATAACAAGCATGCTTTACTGCATATACAGACTGATTGTACAATGTGGGTATAGTAACACTTTAACTAACACACAACTATTCAATATAAAATCAAATGAATGGGACCCCAATCAGTAAACTCTAACCATCACACAATTCCAGAACAAAAAAAAAAAAAAGACCAATCAAATTCCTCCAAGGGGGTCTATTTACAAAAACTCTGGTGTTGGAATGCCTCAGCCTTCACACAGTTGTTATGAATAATCCCTGGAAAGTCCTCAGCATGTTTCTTTCCTATGAACATCAGCTCCATCTAGTGGTCATAATGCGGTAAATACGGAAATGTGGGCTCTTGTGAGCTACTATGGTGTATAGTACACTATTCAAAATAATACCAATGCTGTGTAATAAAATGATCAAAAAATGGTCTAAATAAATAAAATGTAAATGTATGGTTGGCTTACACTCTACACATACTCATGCCATTGTGTCACAGAAAAATAAAAAGCAGAAATAGTGTCGCGCTCCACTACCAATTGACAAAAAATGTGCAAATAAATACACAACAATCCAGCTTCACAACTGTGCATAACGAGATCTCTGCAATTATATCACTGCTACAAACATGTCCTTATTAAATCCTTGTCTTTGACACGTCTTCCAGTGCTACGGTACAAAATTATAAGCTGTGAAGAAACATTGGTACACCTTCCCTGGCTGTGCTCTCCCCTGGTGTATATGACCAAACCGTTAAGTGAGGCCATAAAAGACTTGTGTCCCTTTAATGTGGCTAATGGGGGCCATAGACGGGTCAAAAATCGGGCGATTTTCGCACCGTTAGTGGGTTAATTGGTCGGCCGTTTTTCGGAGTTTTGGCACATTTTTTTTTTACCGGTCGTGTCGGAAAATTCGCACCCCGGTTTTGATGATCGCCTGATTTTCCCAGCAATGATGGGGAAGAAGAAGAAGAAAAGAAGAAAGAGGAAGAAGAAAGAAGAAGGAAAGAAGGAAGAAGAAAGAAGAAGAAGAAAGAAGAAAGACGAAGAAAGAAAAAGAAGAATTCCAGTCCACTATTATATTTTATATGAAAAGTCTTGCGGTTGCAACAATGTATCCATTTGTATCCGAATAAAAACATCAGTATCCAAAATGGATATACCGTATTTTTCGCTCCATAAGACGCACCTAGGTTTTAGAGGCGAAAAAAACAAGAAAAAAAAATATTCTGAACCAATGGACTGCAGACACAGTACAGGGGATGACCAGAGACTGCGGACACAGTACAGGAGATGACCAGAGACTGCGGACACAGTACAGGAGATGACCAGAGACTGCGGACAGTACAGGAGATGACCAGAGACTGCGGACACAGTACAGGAGATGACCAGAGACTGCGGACATAGTACAGGAGATGACAGAGACTGCGGACAGTACAGGAGATGACCAGAGACTGCGGACACAGTACAGGAGATGACCAGAGACTGCGGACACAGTACAGGAGATGACCAGAGACTGGGACAGTACAGGAGATGACCAGAGACTGCGGACATAGTACAGGAGATGACCAGAGACTGCGGACATAGTACAGGAGATGACCAGAGACTGCGGACACAGTACAGGAGATGACCAGAGACTGCGGACACAGTACAGGAGATGACCAGAGACTGCGGACATAGTACAGGAGATGACCAGAGACTGCGGACACATAGTACAGGAGATGACCAGAGACTGCGGACACAGTACAGGAGATGACCAGAGACTGCGGACACAGTACAGGAGATGACCAGAGACAGTGGACATAGTACAGGAGATGACCAGAGACTGCGGACACAGTGCAGGAGATGACCAGAGACTGCGGACACAGTACAGGAGATGACCAGAGACTGCGGACACAGTACAGGGGATGACCAGAGACTGCGGACACAGTACAGGAGATGACCAGAGACTGCGGACACAGTACAGGAGATGACCAGAGACTGCGGACATAGTACAGGAGATGACCAGAGACTGCAGACACAGTACAGGAGATGACCAGAGACTGCGGACAGTATAGGAGATGACCAGAGACTGCGGACATAATACAGGAGATGACCAGAGACTGCGGACATAGGACACGAGATGACCAGAGACTGCGGACATAGTGCAGGAGATGACCAGAGACTGCGGACACAGTGCAGGAGATGACCAGAGACTGCGGACACAGTGCAGCAGATGACCAGAGACTGCGGACACAGTGCAGGAGATGACCAGAGACTGCGGACATAGTACAGGAGATGACCAGAGACTGCAGACACAGTACAGGAGATGACCAGAGACTGCGGACAGTATAGGAGATGACCAGAGACTGCGGACATAATACAGGAGATGACCAGAGACTGCGGACATAGGACACGAGATGACCAGAGACTGCGGACATAGGCAGGAGATGACCAGAGACTGCGGACACAGTGCAGGAGATGACCAGAGACTGCGGACACAGTGCAGGAGATGACCAGAGACTGCGGACACAGTGCAGGAGATGACCAGAGACTGCGGACACAGTGCAGGAGATGACCAGAGACTGCGGACACAGTGCAGGAGATGACCAGAGACTGCGGACACAGTGCAAGAGATGACCAGAGACTGTGGACACAGTGCAGGGGATGACCAAAGAC